GAATGTATCCCTTTCCGGCCGCGCTTTTCCGGCCGCGCTTTTTCGTGCCGGTGAAAAGTAGGTGATGTGGAAGGCAGTGATGAGATCTAGATTCTGGTGTGCGCACAGTGTGCGCACACCTGAATCTAGAACTTGCAGCAGTGTGCGCCGCACACTGCTGCAAGTTTTATGCAAGTTTTGGAGAAAAAAGTAACGCCAGTTTTGTTGCAACAAGAAGGCGGGCGAACGGAAAATTGAAAAAAAAAAAGGGAAAGAAAATTTGAGGCAAGGCGGCACCTCACAGTCCATCCATTCGTATAAAGATGAAAAAGTGCGCGTGTGCAGAGCGTGGTGGACAGCGCGCTGACGACCGCGCATGTAACGCTGCACAGCCCGCGAGCCGGCCGGTATCGAACATTCCCCGCCAGCCGCGCCGCTGTGGTTGGCTGGGAGCATTGCGGTTGCAGGGCAGTTCACTGCCCCTTTCCATGCGATGCGTCAAAAAGAGAGTCGTCAACGTTATTTTGTTTCTCTGCACGCCGCCGGCACGCGAGTGTCCATGCCCTACATGGGATATGTATAGACGGTTTCGACGAGTGTTTGAGCAACAGTCGGGTGGAAAACACGCGTGTAGATGCGGGCAGGACGTTCGCGCACGGGCGGGCGAGAGTCCCGCCAACTTTTCTGGGCGCGGGAGACAGCCGCAGTGGCTCGGGACAGAGGCGGCAACCCCGTCAGCCGTGTCACGTGAATCCCCTTCTTCTGCCCGCCCCCGCCCCCGGCTACCACCGTCTCCTCGTACCTCCACGCGCCGCTATCATACACCGCACTGCCTGTCTCACTTGTCGCTTCATTCCCTCCCGTTATACGTGCAGTGTACAGTACGGCGACTCACTCTCCGCCCGCTGCTTGAGGAACACTACCCCCTGAACACAACTCACCGCCCTTCCTTTAGACCCCATCCTCCTTCCCGCCTGCCCCTCCCCCCCCCCCCCCCGCCGATCTCCTATCCTGAGTGACATGCCATGATCCCTCGCGCCCACT